TTGCGGTCATATGACTTTTCTAGCATTAATTCGCGTTTATAGAGGGTGTGCGGATACTTTTGTCCACCCTCTGTAGAAGCATATTGGAATATATATTTGTTAATTTTTCTGTTAATTTTAAGCCAAACCAATCAATAGCAAAAAGGTCATAACGAAGCGTCTAAATAAATATTACCAGGAGATATATAAGTTTTATATAAGTTGTCTTTTATAATTTGAGAGATTGGACGCAAAAGATTCAGTATACGCATAAAATATAATAGATTCGAATATAACTATGATACTTATAATATAGATAACTTGTCAATAATCTTAAATCTCACTCAACTTTTGACATTTTTAAAGATTCCTGTAAGAGCAAATTACAAGGAAAAAAAAAATATATTACTGAAAAGGAGGAGAATTTTACCGCTATTTTTCTTGCAAAATTTCGTACACTTTGCAATGATGCCGAATTTAACGTTAATGATCCCGATGAAATTTAAAACTCCTTTATACGTTAAAAGCGGTTGTATTTGATATATCAAATATAATTGAATATGGTTCTTTGATAGTGATATTTGACGAGCTATAAGTTAAACTATAATACATGCACTAAAACTCATGTGGTCAGTTTAATTAAGTATTTTTAAAATAATAATATTATTTAATACACATTTTCTTTTAGGTATTTTCTGGTGAAAAGGTATAAGATATAAACTAGGGCAGGATCCGTCCAGTCCAAAAAGACCGGTATTTCATCTTTCTTTGAACCGGACTGGTCCTTAAGTCAGTCTTATAACTTTTAGCATTATTAAAATTTACGATATTTTACTGAAACGATAATGATAATGTCTGGAAATTAAAATATCGAAAATGGAGAAATAACGACATTAAGAAGGCACAGGAATCATTTTTGACGTAGGCGGTGTTTATGCAATTATATTATTATATTTATATTAAATATCAGGATATCATGTGAAATGTGGTAAATATTCTTTTTGTTCCATCTCCAAATTTTCTCACAGTCATAGTTTGATTATATATCAAATATGTTCTAAACCGGACCGGACCGGTCCTCATAATATAGAGCGAGGACCGCAAGGACCGGTCCCATTAACCGGTCCTAATACAAACACTTTTATGGTATTTAAAAAATTGTAGTGAAAAGGAAGTTCCTTATAATATAGAGTCCAAATTTAAATTGATGGCATTATTTGCAAACAGAAATTATAAGTCTCATAAGTCTCCAACAACTGGACAAGGTAAAGGTACGATATCTACAATATATAAATATATTTATTTTGTATAACAGCATCCTGTCGTAAAATGATGTAGAATGTCATATTCATAAGTCTGAAAACAATAATTACGGCTAGAATTGCACCAAGTCTCGATTTCACTTTACTAATTTTTTTTTTTTATTATTATTTACTTAGTGATGTTGAAAATAATAAATAAAAGTTTTATTGAATATACGTTTAAAGTTTTTAATCGAAATCCTTTATGAAATTAACACTTTATTTTTACGCTATGATATGATTCGTTTGTTCTTAATAAATTATGTGATTTATATATGAAATTCAAAAATTATATTCATTGTTACTTGGATCAATATATTGCAATATGGGTTTTGGTCGAGTAAATTTGAATACATCTTGGATCTCTCTTTATCAAGATACGCACAAACAAATTCCTTATTTAAAAATTCATTTGAACTTTATATATTTTAATTTTGATAATGGACTAAATACAATATTTATACATAAAAAATACACGAATATAATCAAAGATAAGTATGAACAACTTATTCCCCTTTATATAATATCTTTAACTTAAGCCAGCAATAGATAATTCTCTAGCTTTAGCATGCTTTTTCACAATTTCTCTCCAACTAGTTAAATCTGCTCCCAATTTTCTGCCTAAAGTACCAAGAGCGGTATCCAAATTCGTTGCAATCTCTTGGAATTTGGTTCGAGTTGGTTGAGCAGAAGACACGCGTATTGCGATTATGAGGGCTCTTCGCAAGTTTGCTCCAACCTGCACGTAAATATTTATAAGGTTATAATATACCGAGAGAATATGAAATAACAATATGAAATAACGATATTCCGTGTTGGTAAATACTTACTTCCATTAAAGTTTCGGCATCACTCTTGATTGATGGATTTCTTTCTAATGCAAATACATCTGCCAATACATCATAATAGAATCCACTGAAAACCTATATAAATAATAAGAAAGGTTAATTTGACCGTCAATTAAATGACATGAAAAATCTATTTAACTTACCATGGATACAGCATGTACTTCAGCTTGAGCTTCGGAACCTTTAAGTGTGTTGGATAAATTTCTCAACCCTTTTCCTTTATTTTTGAACAACGCATCACCAAATTCTTCCCCGACAGCTGATAAGAAATTGTCTGGATTTCTTAAATTGGCTTTTGTCATAGTGACGAATAAATCTGAAATTTCGGCCTAATAGATTTAAATTTTTTTTTTTCAAAAAAAAAAGTCTTAATGTTAACAACTTGTGATGTTTCTCTCATTTTTTTTTTTTTTTTTGTTTGATTTTCGTACTTACCATAGAAATAAGAGTAAATAAACTACACAAATCACCAAAAGCTTCATGAAAACCACCAGTTTGTCCATCAGATAGCCAACCAGGTTGCAAGGTATCCAAGAAAGCGTGACCAGATTCATGAGCCACCACATCAAAACTTCTACACAGATAAACTGGTTGACCACCACCTTGAGACGTATAAAAGAATTTCAAAACCGCTTCATCACGACTATAATAAGCGTTAGCTTCTTCTCCAGCATGAGGATGGATGCTAAGTCTCTTGTTTGCTCCCCAAGGACGGTTTATTACAGGAGGACGTCCATCAAGATATTCCAAATCACCACTTAACAAGTTAAATACGTATCGAACGGCCGAAAAGGTATGTATAACGTCAAATCGAACATGGTTATCTGATTCAGGAACCTTTGAAGGTGTATTATCGAATGTCAATAAGAAATCTCCATTTTTGTCAGCGGCTATTGGTCTGGTGGGTGATACTGTATCGAACATTGAATCCATTGGTCCAGTTTTTATGTCAGTGTTTAATAAGAAAAGTTCTCGTATTCCAATCTTTTTGACAGATGGATCGGCTTTCCATACGTTTACTCGCGTTCCTACACCGGGTGGTGGAGCTGCGGTAGCAATTAAATGCTGTTGTAAGCGAGAGGCTAAAAAGTTTGCGCTCCTATAAGGAATGAAAGGAAAAAGGTAAATACAATAAAGCAAAATACATAAAAGTTGAATAATTTATTTTATGTTTACTTTGGCCAAATATTTTGTTCATAATCAAATAATACAAAAGGTAATTTCGCCGGAGATTTAAGGTCGAAACTACAAGATGGCTTATTTGAATTTCGTGGATCGAATTCAAGTAATTTTCCATTGTGTCCAATCACAATTGCTTTATTCTTGAAGTCTAAACATTTTCAAAAACAAAAATAATAATTAAAATCTTTGTTCCAAGAAACTAAAAAAAAAAAAAAGATAAAGAAAAAACATTATTTAAATTACCTGGATGAGGAACGAATAAAAAGAGTTGTTCTGATTTTGGAGTATTATTGTTTCCACCATTGGAGTATCCTAAAGTGCCAGATTGAGCATCACCAACACTCAAGAATTGCCCTGAAGTATTACGCCATGCTACTAATGGAACAGTGACTGGAAAAAAAAAAAAAATTTTTTTTGAATTTCTGTTGAATGTAATAAACTTTTTTTTTTATTATTATTTACCGAGGTTAAGATCCTTTAAAAGATTATGATATTCAATATTTGAGTTCTGCACGTGCCCAATTGAATATTGAGATGTGTCTGGATCCTCAACAAGATATAAGGCAGATTCATGCAAATTATTATCGGGTCTATATAAGATAACATAAAACTTTTTTTTTAAAAAAAAAAAAAAAAGAAAAATAATAATAAAGTAAAAAAAAAGAAAATATATTTACTTGTTTCTATTACCACTAAGAGATCTTGCTAAATATGCATTATGCTTCTTGTTGTACAACGCATAATAATTGCCGTAGTGTTCTAATATATATCACGTGACATAAGTTAGCAAAATGGGTTGGAATTTTAAAAGCAAAGTGAAAATATATTTTACCGATTCTCCAAAGCTGCGCGGGATCGGCGAAATTATAAACGTGCTTGGTGATCGATCCATCTTCATTCATTGAAATGGCACGTTTAAAAGAATCAATAAATGCAAAGTATCTATAAACTTCTCCAGTACTTGGTTCACCATCCGAGGCAAATGTTGGAGTGTGTGAGGTGGCATTGAATGGACGATTGATATCACCGAATTTCCAATTAATTTTCGCTATAAAAAATAAATAAAAATCAGTATATTTATATAAGCCACGTTTAAATTTTGCGGTTGCAAATTTTTTTACCATATATTCCGGACAAAGCGGATTCCGGGTCACCTTGACTTTGATGACTGCTAGAACTTAATGTTGAAATTCTATAACACTTTTGTTCAAAAGCGTTCTCCCTTGACCAACCAGACAATTGATCAAAGTAATCCGAAATATACAAAGGGAAATTGGTCTCAATATCCTTGAGAACATTAACAGGCGTGATACCGGTTGACCAAGTTCCATTTCCTACGCTAGTAACGACATTGGCAATATTTCTACCAATTTCAATGAAATTATTAGGAGGGACATTAAAGGCCGTGGAAAGTTCATTGGCGATAGAGTTAGCAAGTGAATTAATCCATTCGGCTGAAGTTGTGTAAATTGATGACTCATGACTTGTTGGGGTGGTCTTTTTCGCGATTTTCTCAAGAATGGCTGATACTTCTTCTTTGGGAAGTTTATAAGCGATACAATGAGGAGATGTATTGGATAACCCTCCTCGAATATCCGCTTCGTGCAATTGAGTTGTCACGTGAAGTGGTATTTGAGAAGACATGATGAATACGATGATGGCTTTTAATCTTAAAGAACGATTTCAATTTCAGAAGATTATGCAACCGTCTTGAGAAATTTCGAACATGAAGAATTAGCATTGTATTTATATATTTTTTTTTTTTTTATTTAATAGATTTAATATTATATTACATTTATCTAATTCTTATTGAGCAACAAATCAAAAACGCAATGAATGATTTATAACTATTATACGATAATTGCTTGGCATATGGGCGGTTTCTCACTTATTAGTTCTTGAATATTAATTGTAAAAAGCTCTCTTACCGTATTTAGTTTATGATTTAATCTTTAATGTATAGATTAATTAGATCGAAAATTTATGGTTTGCATAATCGGCAAGAGGCTCCGAGAGAAAAAGGTTAAAAATTATTTAGATGTTTCACGAAAGTACAAAGAACGATTATCAGATTGTCGGTTGGGATTGTTTACTTTAATATTTAATGATGATTACTTGTGTATTACAATTAACGTTTCTTTGTAGATTATTTAAAACATAAACACCTAGTTTGTTCACCGCCATTTAACCTAATAAAATTTATTAAAGAGCATTTATTTGTTTATTTAAAATAAGGAAGTAACCAAAAATGTATGATCATCAAAAATAGTATTCCATAGAAAATTACCCATTGTTGTTTGATTAAAAGAAATTAAATAATCAAAACGATCTTTTATATTCATGTAAATTTTTTTTCTCACGCCCATTTTTTTTTTTGTTGCCTTTTTTAATACTACCATTAGGAAGAATTAACCATTTTCAACATCCCACGTAGTATATTTTTTACATCAAAAGAAAGTACCGATACTCTTCTGCGGGTACTTTCTTTCCTTAATTTGCACAATACAATCAATTATTATTTTTAAGGATATTAAATCTTATTTTTCTATTTTTGTACATTCTTTACTAATTTGATCTCATTGATGTATTTATTGTTAACGAACTTGTTCTTTAAAAACTACATCGTACAACATTATAACATTTTATTGTCGCAACACACAACTTGTTCTACATTTAAAGATAAATTTTAGATAATTAATGCACAAAAAAAAAAATAGCGTTTTAGATTTTTGAAGTTTCCAACTTTATTTGTACAAAAGAATCCGGGATTACGAGATTAGGAATAATTAAAAAAACAAACAAATAAATAAATTAATCTAGTACACATCACTAATAAATTAAAGTTTAAAGATATAAATAAAAAAATAAAAATAAAATAACCTCTATATAGTCACCTCCTATATAGTCACTCCTCCCTTATAAGCACATTTTTTAGGCCAAGTTAATAATAATAAACTAATAAACTAAAAATCCTACATCATATTTTTTATAATCACACCAATTTTTTGGTCCTGAGAGATGCGACTATCTATATAGGAGGTTTACTATATTTTAAAAATAAAGAAAAATATATAAGATAGTAAATCTTTTATATATTTTACATCAAAATTATTTTTATTTAAAATTTTTATTTAATTATATAAATTTTTCAAATATTGTTTATTAATTAGAAAGTTTTTTTCAAAATATCATTACATAATTTAAAACAGATTGCTAACCTTGGATTTTTTTTATGTAGTGTTATATTTTGCAGCCAACATTTTTTATCAATTTTCGCTAAAAACTCAATTCACAATTAGAAAATTGATAATTTAATAGATATATTTACCTAAGACGAGTAGTAAATTCTATAATACTTGTTTGTTATTTTTTCTATTTAATAAAAAATTGACAGCAATAGAAATTTTTCATTTAAAATGCTTGTATTATTATTTGAAATTATTCTATTTAATTACATTATAAATTGATTATTCTATATAATTTTTCAATAAATCAATCATAATGAGATGATTAAGCCTAAAAAAAATTTTTCTGCTATAATTTTTTAATATTTTTACTTTTTTTCAAACCTCATTTAGTGAAATATCATTATAATCTGCAACCTTTTTCCTACTTTAAAATATTTTAATTTGACAATTTCTATTATTAATTTTTTGAATAAAAAAATTTATTTATGTTATTTATACATAAAACTTGATTAATATCTGATATTATTATTAGAATCATTATTAAAATACCTTTTTATAATTAAAATTGAAAGTTTATCAATTAATATTTTACAAAGATGAAATTTTACATCTAATATTAATTGCTTGGTTATATATTTATTATCAAACCTTATAACTGAAAATCTTAGATATTATGTAGTAATATAGAAAATTTCTTGTAAGTTTTATTAATTACTTTAAATGCAATTAAATAAATTTTTGCAGTAATATCTGATTTACATTATTAGCAAAACAATTGTCTAATAAGAATGAAGTCATATAGATTATATAATATAATAATCTCTTAATATAAAATTCTAAAATTACTAAAAATTCTATAAATTCTAAAAATACAGAAGATTTTCATTATAATTGTTAAACCTGTATTTTACAAATATATGATATTTTATAAATTTGATAGCTTTAACAAGAGTTAAACTTACTTAATGCATTTCTACCACTTGCTATTAAAAGGACTTATTTTACAAATTAATATTTATTATTCAAAAATCAATCATCATTTTTTATTCTTATTATTATTATTCTAATTCTATTTTATATATTTTCTCTTTATTTTTATTCTAAGATGCATCACTTTTTTATTAATTATTTCTTTATTGATTTCAGTTTCTTGCAATTACATTTTATTAATTATTTTCTTTTTTTTTCTGTATTTTCTCATCACTTTCTATATTTTCTTATTTTCTCAATTATTTTATTTTTCCTGTAGTAAAGTATTAGACTTTCCGTTTGAGTATTTAATTGTCATCATTTAAATTATTTATTAGGTAATGTTGTTATTATCTTATAATCCATTATATATCATGTATTGTTATCATTATTAATTATATATCATATATTATTATCATTATTAATGATATATTATATTATATTATTATTATTAATAATATATCATATATTATTATTATCATCAATTATATATTATGTGTTATTATCATAATCAATTTTATATTATATATTGTTATTATCATTAATTATATACAGTGGCTACCAAAAGAAACGCAAGTGTGATTGGTTACCTTTGAACGGCTATAACTCATCAACCACA